ACCTCACTGTCCAAAGTGAATTTAATTAACTATTTGGGATAGCTCATAGGTTAATACAATGAAGACAGTGTATTGGCAAGAAAATAATTATGTGATTGGGGCATAGACATACTTCCCAGACTTAATAATGCTTGATATCTGGTTTCCAATTCCTTATAAAGAGAGATGACTTACTGCTTATCATGTGCTAGGCTTATTGAACCCAAGGGAGAAACTGGTATTGAAAGAAGAGAACAAGCTGCTAGAACACTTAAAAGTTAACATAGTCATGAACTCTGAACTATTCAGGATTGCCTTCCTACAGGATACAAATAATTTCCACTGACTCTCCTGCATGTTTTTTGTACCCTGTGATGAAAAAATAGAGACCTGTGACTAGATTTATGAGGAAAGCCTTTATAACACCTGTTACATGTTCTACTGCCTAGTGGAATTTGCAATGCCAAGTTAGGCATCCAGGTTCCCTATAGGAAGAATTAAATTTTTAAGAATAGTGTTTGTAAAGGCATGGGCACTGAGCAGGGAGCTGTCTGAGCTGCCACTAGACAATGCTAAAGAGAACCCAAGTGAGAAACTCACAAAAGGGACAGAAATTACACATAAATCGATATAAGTGATCAGAAACCAGTTCAAATCTGTAACACAACAGAAGTTCAGTGCACATAAACAGCTTTCAAAATGGCTGAAACTGGTTTAAGATAAACCTGGATGGATGTAGCATCAAACTTAACTGATTTAGGTTAAATCGGTTTATTGAACTTATGTCCCAGATCCCATCTAGATTCAAGTTAACTCACAGTCCCCCAGCATCCCAGGATACCTTCCACCTCCCCCACAAACCCTCCTCGCAGGGTGGGTGGGCTAGTTTTGACCCTAGTTGTTCAGTCTAGCCCAGCAGGGAAATGTGCTTTAGCACTCCCCAGCTTCTGGCTTGGGCTACTGCAGGCATGTGGCTGCATTTCCAGAATCAAAAGTGAATGTCTGTTCACTCACCTATCGGTTCAATCTATGCAGCTTAGACTATCCTGCAAAGATTGAATTGATTCAGCCTCGGACTTTTTGACTGTCTGTACTTAGCCAAAGAGAGTTAAGTGTCTCATTTCAGGCTGGAGGGAATTGTCTCTCTGCACAGGATTTATTCATGGATGTAGGTACTTAAGCTAGGTTGGTGCTGTTCTCCCAAAAAAGGGGAACAGGAGGAAGAGATGTTCCTTCTTTTATCCAGGCCTGTAATTAAAACACTAACTTGCAAATGGAAAACCCTGGTTCAAAATTCCAACTCTCTCTGAGGAGACATAAACCTAGATTTCCCCCTTCTGACTTGAGCCTTTACAATCCCATTATATAATATAAGCAAACAAAAGCAGCATTTAGTGACAGTGGCAGGATATACCTCCCCCTGCTGCAAACCCTAAAAACATGGAGATAAAAATTCAAGGAAAAAGTCCTGCGAGTTCCTTTCTACTTTTCTAACCCACAGTATGTACCTTGCTGTAAGTTCCTAGTGGAGACAACACACTGTAATTTCTATCACAAGATGACTAAGCAAGGTCAAGACTTACTTCTACAAGTTCAGCACTTGATCAATGCACATTAAATGCGTTTATACAATTATTTTCCTTTAGCAATGCTGAGGTCACACAGTGTTAAGCTTTTATGAAGTAAGGGGACTGAGTCACATGCTGAATATAAACAACACTTAGCAGAGCTGAGATTTTAATTCCTGGTCTCATCTTTTCCAGAACACTTTTCCTCAGCAACACCTTTGTTGCCCAGAGGAATCTCTCATTGGTCAGCCCTCACTGAAAATGAGCATCAGCAGATCTACCATCAAATTAAGCATTGCAGGTTCAGCTTGAGGCACGTTAGGTCTGTTAAAACTAAAAATGTTAAGACACACTGTTGACACACTGTGCCTTAAATAACTGATGTGTTAGGAGTCAGCACATGAGAGACAAAAAGCATGCCCATGTCAGTGATTCTCAACCAGGGTGCTGCAGCACCTATAGTGTTAAGAACATTCTGACCGGTGGTTTGCCAACAGAAGAACTGCTCTACTGTTTCTCTGTAGTCAAAAAATGAGTGAAAATTAAGAGCTTGTATTCTCTGAGAGGTGCCTTGTGTCTAAAGAGGGATGCCTTGAGTCTTAAAAGGTTAAGAATTGCTGGCTTAGGGACTGGGAGCAGAATAGCCATGGTAGTGCAGGGCTCAGTTAAAGCGTTACAGGTCTGTCTCTATGGCACAACTTGCATAACTTCTGGAAGAAAGGAGAGTGCCAGCAAAACTTTCTAGTGTAGACTAGACACAGCCTAAGTTTCCATGAATTTCTGTGCCATTATTTGTTTATCTACTCTTTTTGAAGCAGAGCATTTTGTTTAAATTCATTTGTAATGAAGTTTTGGTTACTGGCTTTGGTTTGAGAACAGTTGTGGCTTTTTGTCTGGGATATATTCTTCCTTTTTTAAAACCCCTGTCTCCTCTCTCCTTACTCAAAATAACAACAAATACGGTATGAGCAAAAAAACCCCAAAACAAACAACAACAAAAATCTAAACTCTCTTCCATCCCAAATTAGAAACATATAAATGATTTCCAGTCCAAACATTCAACATACAAGTATAAACAATCTTCACTCTAAGGCATCTTAAAAACAGAAAACTTTAGGCTACTTTCATTTACCTTCTCATTTTTGAGCCAATAGGACATACTCAGGCCACATTTACAAGCTTTCCCCTGCATGAAGATTAATTAGATTTTGGTTTGTTCTAATGAAGGGGTGTGGTAGCGAGACGCCCCCACAGGCTTCCGAAGGGGAGAGGGTAATCCCCATGGGCCCCAAACCCCGGAAACAGACCCTCTGCGGGGATAACTTACCTCCTGCCGGGCAGCCAGAGCAGGAGCCGGGACCATGGCCACAGCCACTCAAGCCGGCGTTATGCTGGCTGTTTAATCAGCTGTTTCCCATGCGGGGAACAGCTGGACCAATCGCAGTGGTCATACCGGCCACTGCAGGAAAGTTTAAAAGCCCCACCAGAACCCGGGTGGGAGAGGAGCCAGAGAGAGAGAGAGAGTGGCTGGTGGACAGCATGCCAGATGTACTGAGGTTCCTGTGTGGGAGAGGAGTGGCACAGCTGGTGCGTCACCAGCAGGAAGAGCAGGGGAAGCTCATCAGCTCCCTGCGGAAGGCGGACAGGGAGAAGTGCTTAAGCTCCCTATAGGAGACAGAGCAGGAGAGACATTTGAGCCCCCTGTAGGAGGCTGGGGGAAAGGAGGCAGCAAGCTTCACATCCCTCTCCTTCCCGGGTGAATATTTCTTTTGAAGGAAAAAAGGAAAAATTCAAAGAGGTAGGGAGGGAAGGCTGTGCATTGAGGCCAGTGGGACAAGAGCCAACTGAGCCCACGCAGATGTGGGACCCCACCTGAAGCAAGCTGTGGACAACCCCGCAGGGCCAAAACCACCATTGTACGGTCACCCTTCTGGTTGGTGAGTGGACAGGGTGTAGGGGAGGTGGAGCCCCATGGAACATTGTGCCAAGAAAATCGTGAGTACTACCGTATGCCGGGAGGCCCTCCCAGGAAGATCTCCACTGAACCCCCTCTCTTGATAGTATAACATCAAAGTCGTGGCAGGTGAGTTGAGGGGAGGGGCTACATACCCGGCAAGCCGTGCAACACGTAAGGCCCCAGCAATCACAAGGGGTCTCCCAAGCACAGTCCCTTGTCATGGCAGGCAACCGTGCAAATATCTATCACTAAGAGTCCCCAAGAAAATTCACTCCAGCACCTCCTACAAGCCAGAGCTTCATATAATCACCTCAGTTATGTGGAGAGTCTCATGTAATCACCTAACTCCAAGAGTTGCAACTTTCAGAAAAGTACCAAATACGATTCAGACAAATGTCACTAAAGTTGGCCATACTGCAAATAGACTGTAGTTTTTGTGGCAAGGACCTTGTCTTTAGATATTTGTACAGTACCTAACACAAACCGTGGTAGAGGTTTCTGGGTGCTACCAAAATATATGCTAATAATAAAATAGCCTGCAGCCAACAAATAAGGAAGGCAGATTGGAAAGCTGATAGCTTTATATTTAACACTGGAACCACCTGACAGATACAGGGCAGAAAGGCTGTCGCACACAAGAAAAGGCAGAAATATGTTACCAGATGCATTTTTCTGTATTGTGTGCTGCACCTCATGCAATATAAACATAAAGACAGTTTCTGGTATAGGGTAAATATGTACTCTTTCACCTAACAATACTAGCACCTGGTCCTTCTTACATTTCCAACAGTTAAGTAAATACATCCCACGTTTGATCAGTAGTCCTACTTCATATGCCTGCTTCCTGGATGTTAGGCTTTTCATTTTTCATAACTCACATTACCACATTATCCAGGAAGGCCTATAATTATAATACTTGAGTCTTAAATAAAGTAAGAGTCCCATACATATTCATGCAGAGGCACCATCATCTGAGGTCCACAAATTCAAATGCCTTAAATTCATTATATATGTAATGACAACCAGGGAAAAAATATTGGCCCCACTACAGTCAATGGGAGACTTGGCTTTAATGTGGCCTGAATTTCCCCCTGTTCTGAAATACTTGCTCTCCTAGCAAGCACCCCTGTGGGTTTCAAGTCTGCAGGTTGGGTGGCACAGACTAAGATCATTAATAATTTTAAAAGATCTGAAAAATATTTTTTGACATTTGAGCATTTTTTTAACAGTGCTAGGACCACCTGGATGGGAAAATGCTTTGCAGTAATGTTAATATTGTTATTTAAATTATTATTCACATCATGCAAAGGTAAACATTCTAAAATATGGTATGATAAATAACTGCATGTTATTCTTCAGGATAAAAGGAGGCAAAATTCTATCACATGCTCAGTACAGATGACTAACTGCAGTCAGAGTACAATTTTTGTTTAGGAAGCAAATAGATTCAACAGCTGATTTAAAACTAAATTCCTCTCTCAAATCTGTTTGTTCAGAGTACCATAAAAGGAAAAGCATGAACAGTAGCCTCTGCTCATTCTCTGGTTGCACCAGGACACCTGTGCATCACACATCAAATATTACAGTTTGTGAGCAGTGTTGAATTAAGCCCCGGGGACTAGAGTCTTACTTACCCACAGAACAAGCAGTCAGGTAAGGAGCAGTGCATGTTTGTCCTCACTACTTTAATCTTCTTTGTTCATGTCATTCACTGCTGGGAAAGGGCCCTATGTCTTGTAATGCTGAAACCTGCCATGCTACTGAATCTCCCAGGGTGGAATCACCTACCCTCCCACTCGTCATCATTGTGCACCAAGCTAAGCAGCCTTGGTTGGATTGTTGCAGCTGTCAAGCCACTGTATTGCCACATAAAACAAATCAAGAACTTGGCCTGGAGGCTGTTTCAAGGAAAGGAAATGGGAGAATCATAGTAATAATAAATAATCTAATCTAGTGCACAGTGCAGAAAAGTATATAACTGGTTATGTGCTCATGTTAATGTGCTGGGTTATGTACTATGTCATTTATGGGAGGAGTTGGGTGTTTCAGCAATGAATGTACCACAGCAGGCACAGCAAGTGGGAAACCAACAGAAAGTGCTGATAAAAGTGTGTGTCCTAATCCTTCCCCTTTTGGGATAGGGTAGCACCTATGTCACAACCCAAAACCATCTCTCCAAGAGTTAGCTGTCCAAGTTTGTCAGAGCCCACATGTGCATGGCAGGAGGCACAACTGTAGGATTGCACATTAGATCCAGTTGTGCCCTATTGCTGCTGCAGGGGGAGCTCTTTTCTGAGGACGCTCCTAGCCACCAGGACCACATGCAGCTGAGGCTGACAGCCCCGCAAGTGCTGGAACTCCCAGGCCCTGCTGTGCCTCGTGCTCAGCCAGGACCCAGAGTCCTGCAACTGCCAGGGCTCTTGGTCCCAGCTGAACCTTACATGAGGGACAGCTGGGACCAGCAGCCCCATCAGTTGCAGGGTCTCTCAGTCCCAGCTGTGCATGAGGTGGAGCCAGGGTCAAAAGCCCCACATGAGCTGGGGGTTTCACGCTCCCTTGAGCTTTAGAGATCATAGCAGGTGTGATCCCCAGGCCCTGGGAGTTTCATACTGGGCAAGGTGCACCTCTGTGACTGGGAGCCCCATCAGCTGACGGGGCTCCCAGACACAGGGGAGACCCTGCCACACATGTGTAGCAGGGCACTAAGATGTGCCTGCTCCTTAAGGCTGAAGAAGCCTGGCCAGGGAGCTTGGCAGGCTAAGTAGAGCTCCCTAGCTGCAGGTTGCTGGGATAACAGCCTAAGGGAGTAATGGGCCACACCTGCTGACATCACCTGATGGGCAGGAGGCAGGGGTCTGAGTTATAGGCCCAGGCTGTAGCTAGTAAACACACAATCTCTCTCTGGCAACTGACAGGGAGGAAGCTCCTGCCTGCTGAAACTACTTGAGACCTGGTGCTGCCTGCCTAGCTCTCCCAGTACTGCCTGCTCTGCTATCTAGGTGCTACATGACTGCAGGCATTGGCAACGCATAGAGGGTGCACGTGGACCCCCTGAGCATGGCTGTGCACCCCCTGCAAAAAGGTGCTGCCGGCAGTGTTGGCAGCGTCTACAGGTGGTCACTGACTGCTGGTTGGTGCTCACCACCCTTCCTTCCCCCTGCCACCAACAGTGCTGCGGCTGCCTGCGGGAGCTCCCACTTACCTCTGCCACACTCCTGCTGTTGACAGCATCGCCACTGCCTGCAGGAGCTCGCCATGCCCCACCACGCCCTGGCCTCCAGAGGTACATGGTGTTCATGACTACAGGGAGTCTCCCAGGTACCTAGAATAGGGGAATGTTACTGTGAGTGGAAGTTTATCCCCTTAAAGAGGCTGTTGTTTAACTGTTGTTCTTACTAGTATTTAAGTTATAGCCTAGGGGCTTGTGTTTGTGTTCATGTTTGCCCTGGAGGATCGGGATGAGGCTAGAAGGGGAGGTTTGGAGGCCTCATTAGTGCCTGGAGAGAGAGGGCATATGATTTGGTGGAGCCCAGCGTCAGGCACAGTGAGCCCAAAGCACCAGAGGGGCGCAGCCACAGGGGCACAGTGAGCCCAGAGCACCAGAGAGGAGCAGGTACAGGGTCAGAGCTAGTCCATAGCACCAGAGAGGTGCAGCCAGAGGGGCGCAACAGCCAGAGGGGTGCAGCACCCATAGCGCCAAAGGGACACAGCTAAGGGAGTACAGGGCCAGGTGTCGAAGAGACAGCCAGGCATCTGAGGAAAAGGCACAGAAAGCCAGTAACCAGAGAACCCAGTGACAGCGTGTTGCAGAGAGACAGGAGCCAGATGGTTCAACCCCAGGGGCGTATAGAGTTGACGATGGTAATAACACCTGCAAGGCATGGGACACATGTAGGGAAGGTGTGTATGTACCACTTGGTATAGCTGAGCACACGAAGGGCAGCTTCCTGCCTAATAAACAACTTAATTATTTACTAACAAGGCATGGCAGATGAGATAGGCAGGCAGACTGTCCAAGACAGGTGGATAGGCCAATGCAGAGGGCAGCCTCAGGATGGCCCCCTGTCACAACATACAAATTAAAGCTCAATAGCAACCAGCTGTAAACTTAGATCTAAAAAAATGTACACTAACTTTATAGCTGGCTGGATCTTTTTATCATGCAATAGCTATTTTGCACGTGCAGCTGGTCTTAAGGTAACTGCACAATTAACCAGCTAATTGCACAATACCTGTATGTGTAGAGGGGTCACAGAAACAGAACAGAGGTCACTTCTTTTTGCCAAGATGGTGGGACATGCAGAAACAGAACTTTAAGTGTCTAGATAATTTGCTTGCAAAAACATGGGAACATAAGGATTTGGGGGATTAGGTGGTCATTTTGACAATTGCAGTCTTGGACTTAAACACCTATATTCCACCTACATTTTTTTGTGGATCTGGACCTGAATCATTAAACTGTATGTATTGGTGGTACACACCTGCATTTCACTCACACCTAAACTCATGTTGACTCTAGGAAGATTCAACTGGTGTTTGTATAGAGTTGTGAACCATACTGTAGATTAGTCTTATGCCTCTCAGTGGCTGTCATCTACAAAAATTGGGTAGTATCCCTTTAAAGAGTGTACACTCTAGTGTGTGAGCCCTCTAGTAGTGCTGATTTAGAAATATGCCAGAGCAGCAATTCTAGGTTTTTTTTTTATTATACCTTTTGTGATAAGCCAAAAGTAGACCCAGAACTTCAGCACTGACATGACTGGAGTTGTATCCAAAATCAGCTGGAATAAATGGAGGACTCTTTGGGTGTATCTACACATGCTTTTAGGTGCTCCTAAATTTAATGTGCATTATCTTAATGCGCATTAAAGCAATTTAGTTTCGTGTCTACACATGCACACATTGAAACAGATTGATGCCATGTGCATGGACTGATGTGAGACTAAAGTTAGTCCCAAGTCAGTCCGTACACAGTGTTAATGAGCCTTAATGTGTCTACATGTGTGTTAATGCACTTCAGCTATTCGCACCTAAATTTGATACCTGCTTTTGCAGGTATTTAAACCTAGAATACAGAATATATATTCTTCATTAGATGGTGGTAACTGATGACTCTGAAATTCATGCTAAGCAGTGGCCTACACACATAATTTAAAATACAAAATACTGATGTTAACTGCATAGTGTGAGAGGATGCAAGTTCATGGCTAGGTCATCTGAGAAGAAATAATGAGGTATCACTTCCAGCTTACCTTACTATATTCATGATGATTTTAAGTTGTCTGGTATGTAACCATGTGAAATGTCTATCCTTAAGTAATTAGTATGGTAAATATTTCTTTTGCAATTAACTCACGTTTATGTGCAGGAAGAGACTTTCTCCATATGTGATAGGTGTCTCCTCCTGATTTGCTTTTGTTTGGCTGTTTCCTCCTGATTTACCTTGTTTTGCCTAGTGGTTCCCTTGATCCTCCAAGGGCACTCTCCAAAAACATGTGTTTTTCCTGGTTGTTAATCAGTTTCTTGATACGTTCCAAACTTAGTAGATATGGACAACCTCTTGTCAATGAGGAAGGTAATTCATTCAAATTGGAACCTTCTGATAACCAATAATGAGCAGTTTGATTAACAGGAGTTTCCTGTTAATTACTGCTTGGGACTCTCTCTTGATTTACAGAACTACAAGAATGCTTTGAAGATGCTGGACTAAGGGTATAAGAAAGAAGTAAAACAGCTAACAGCACACACTTCAAGAGTGAGAACTCTCTGTCTAACAAACTACTGCTGTGGTCAGCTTACTTGAGAAGTTGGAGAGAAACAGACCACCTTTCTGTTGCCTGTTTGGTGAGAAATCATCAACTTATAGCTAATTACTGGGCTTTGCTTTGGTTTGGGCTCATTTAACTTTGAATACTTGTAGTAAATAAAGCCTTTTTGTCACTTATTGAACAAGGTGTCAATCCTCTGGTTAGGACCTCATGTTTTTATTTGCCAACAGTAAGCATTTCTCCAAGATCAGTCAAACTAAGCCAACCTGCTCATGAAGACTGAAGAGAGTAACATTAATTGTACAAATAATGTACAAAGGATTGTGTCTATATAATAGCCTTGTGTTTGGAATAATACCACACATGTTATTTAGCAGTGGCCATGTGCAGATATTACCAGGTATACTAGCCTACCTTGTTACCTGGACAGTGCTCTTATGGATTAGTCTAAACTTAACTGAAACTACAAGGTGTAACCACCTCCCTTCATTAAAGGTAGTTTTAAGTAACAGTCACTTTTCTTTATGTAACCAACCAACTGAAACAACAGCAGTCTCCACCTCAAATACAGGCACATGTCACCACCCAAGATAAAGGCACATGCCTAGAACATGTGGGTGGCAGAGCTTAGTTGGCCAATGTTTCTGAATGGGTGTGTCTGTGAGGGAGGCCAGAGGTGCTGAGAAAAGGTGGAAAGGAAGCATGGGACACAATACAGTACAGGACAGAAGTAGTGGGAGTAGGACCTTGAGAAAATAGCCTAGGGATGCAGGTCTTTTGAGGGCTGAGCTAGCTAAGAGTGGCTTGTAGGGCTATGCAAAACAGCTATGTTTCGTTTCCATTTCAGATTTGACCATTTCAGAGGGACAGAGATTCATTTTGGTGTTTTGGATCTGTTTCGGTGCTAATTTGGAGATTCGGATTGGCTGGGGACAGGCAGGCACAGCCAGGAAGCTGCAGGTTCTCCCATGGCTCCTCTGGCTGTGTCTGCCTCTCCCTGGGTGGGGGGAGCCATGGAGGAAGCCCCCATGGCTGCCCTGACCGACGCCATCCCTCACTCGGCCCCAGCCCCCTGGCACTTTAAAAAAAAAAAAGTCCTGCACTCACCAGCTGTAGCAGCAGTGATCAAGGCCACTAAGACTTCATGGCAAAGCCCCCCCATGCAGTGCGGGGCACTGAGGGGGCAGCAGTGATCCCCCCCACCTGGCACTCATATGACATCTGCCCCATGGCATGGGTGCAGCATGGCTTGGCAGGGTGCTGCATGCTGTCTGGGAGCTGAGACCACTGGGGCTGAGTAATGCTGGGCTCTGGCTGACAGGTGGAGCCACCCCAGCTCCCAGACAGTGTGTGGCACCCTCCTGAGTCACACTGGAGGGTGTTGCAATGCAACAGCTGCTACGCAGGTGCCAAGAAGTGGGGGGGGATCCCTGCTGTCCCCCACTGCCCTGTATGGCATGGGGGGGGGGGCTCTGCCATGAGCACCCAGAGGTCCCAGTTGCTGCTGCAGCTGGTGGGTATGGAGCTTTTTTTTTTTTTTTAAGTGCTGGGAAACTGGGGCCAGGCTGGGGATGGAACTGGGCAGAGCAGCCATGGGGGCTTCTCCTGCAGGTCTTCTGGTTGTCTGCCTCTGCCCCAGCAGGGAAGCCGCAGGAGAAGCCCCCATGGCTGCCCTCCCTGGCCCCATCTGCCACCCGGCCCCAGCCTCCCAGCACTTTTAAAAGGAAGGCTGCAGGACTGCGCCAGACTCTTCCTGGGTTGCATAGGCCCCTGGATCTGCATGCAGGATGATAGCAAGCCGTCATCCTTTCCCCAGAGCACCGGGATTGGAAGGGACCTCAGGGACAGATTGCAGACACTGGCCAGCTACAGATGACAATATCAGAGCTGTCCCTTCCCTCCCCCTGACTTTCCCCTTCCTCTTCTGAGTTTCTGTTTCCCCACAAGCCTGCCTCCAAAATATTCCAAAACGTTTCAGAAATGTTTCGGATGGTTTCGTTTCATTTTGGAGATGTTTCAGAGCTTTCTGTTTCATTTCGGATTCAGTGTTTGGGACATTGAAACAGGCTGAAACACTTCCAAAATGAAACAGCTGCCAAAATTTTGCACAGCCCTCGTGGCTTGCATCTGTCCCCTGCTGGTTGATTCTCCTGCTGTGTTCAGTAGAACGGGACAGTCTCTCTCAAATATAACAAGGTTCCACCAACTGGAGACTGTTTTGTTCTTCTAATGAACACAACTTGCCACACCCAGAATTTTTTGGCTAACTGCTTGGGTCAAAAAAGGTAACAATGTATTGGCCAAAGAAGCTAGTGATGAAAAACACTTTGACACCTTCCACAAGGCATCAGCAAGACTGTATGGGTATTGTGACAATCAAAAGCAGACTCAGTTTCTGTAGATCATTCAAAATAAAGCCACTTTTTGAGGAGTTATGGGGGTCATCAGCTTAGTGAACTTTCATCAGATTCATCAAAGATTTCTCCAGCTGAGGAAATACTGGATCCCTTGCACATTTTTGGGAGGATCCCAGTCAATCATAACAATAATCTTTTGGGTATCCAGACACAGCCCTTCTGGAAAAATTAGAAAACCTAGAACTTTCACTGTAGTTTATGGAAACATATATTTTTCTAGTTTAGCTGACAGATTTTTCTGGCAGAAGTGTTCCAGGGTAAGGTGGATGTGTTGATTGGTTGTTTCCAAAAAAATAAGTTATCCAGATCTACTGCTACAAGCAGGTCTGATTTTATCCCTAAAAATACTGTTGATAAAATGTTGAAGCTTCAACTTGAAATGAATGGCCAGAATCCTCTGAACTAAAGCAGCACTTGAGGATCAACATTTCAGCCAAAAATTGCTGATGTCAAACTGACAAGAAATTAGTTTAACAAAATGAACCAAAAACTCTTGGAACCAAGAGTTCTAGATTTCTGCATTTCTTTTTGTCTCAGATCAACATAAATCTCCAAAATGAAACATTTTCCAACCATTGATTTTTTTTTTGTTTCAACAACAACAACTTTATAACATTTATAAAAGAGATATGGTACTATTCAATAACGTTTTAAAATGAGGCTTTTCTTGCAAAAGGAGGGAGAGAGAACAGTCTATTTTACAAGGTACTTCCTGGTTCAAGATAATAGTCACAGGGTTAATGCTTTTTGATCCTGAAGAGAATACTGCTGCATTCATTTAAAACCAAGACCTAAAAAAAAATAAAACACAAACATCTTGAACACCTTGTTTTTTCTTGATTATATTTACATGACATTGCCATTCTGTGCTAGAGATGTTCTCTAGTCTCAGATAAGAAAATTCTGTTGTCTATTGGCCTTAACAAAAAATGCCATTAGAATTACAATCTGCTACTTAGGATATACTTAAAATGTGCAGTTAGAGATGTCTATCAATGTATGATACACAATTATAGCAGCTGTCACCTATATAAATCATTCAAAACATTATAAAAAGAAAATAAATATGAAATGATAAATCAAAATAAAAGATACAGGCTGAATTTCAGAGCCTCTGTAAACATGCTTGTGTGTTTTAGGGTTGAGGTTTTTAGCTCCTTTGACACTTGAAGCTTGTGTCTGCTTGAGAGAGAACAGAAACTGCCTGGAATTTCTTTAACTACCTCAAACATTTTGTTTAATAAAATAAACAATAAAAACAGTATGCTTGTTATATTTCCTAAGCATTGTGAGTCAAATTGTAAGTGTTTCTTAAAATCACTTTTAAAACAAGAGGTGTTTCCAATAATCCCCGATGATAAGAATAAATTGTAACAACCTACTCACAAATTTTGTACTGAGGTTTATCTGCCACACGTCCTCAAGTAAAACAATGTAAGAGAGGATTATCATTATAAATGTGAAAGAAGGATACTTATTAACTGAGAACCAGGGGAGAAAGTTAAAAAGAGTCTGTGTGGCAAATTTCTCACTGATAACACAACCCTCTTTTGTCTCTTTTTAAACAAAACAGCTACCCCCAGGCTAAAGCTATGCAGCAAAATACATCAATGTATATAGGTTAAAAGAATTATGATGTTGCATATTTGCTTGTATAGATCTTTCTGTATAAATATTATCCAGTCATTTCTACACTATCTTTCAGACCTTATTGACACAGAATACAAATAAAACAGAATTAAAAGTATTTTATTTTGGGTTACAATAAGCATGTAACAATGTCTCTGTGCTACTTATTTACATATGTAGACAATGAATCCAAGTGCATCACACACAGAGAGACACTTAAGATCACAAATGCATGCTAGTGTTTAGAAGGCTTTAATATTATTCTCGTATATTAAGAAAGAAGCAAGTCTGAAACTATTCTGATAGATAGTTCAGACTATTAGAAAAGGTATTCAGTTTGCTAGTCCTAATTCGGCTACTTTCCCAGATTCCAAAGGTTATAGTAAAAGGGACTGTGAAGCTGTTCAGGATTCTTGGAACCAATAACGTGCAAAGGTATTAATGCAACAATGTATATCACTGACATAGTAAGATTTACTGCATCAAATAAAACTCCTGCAGACAAGAGTAAATAAAATCTCTCTTTTTTTTTTACTTGCTTTTGCAATAATACTAGATGAGCTCAGACATCAGATGATGTATACATAAAAGGCAGCGAATATTATTAGTGGCAATGGGAAAAAAGAAATAGAAAACAGAGAAATAAAAATGATAAAACCCTATGTGAGCAGATATATTTAATGTACCAGAGCAAGTTGTAAATTTTAACTAAGCGTGTTTTTATATTTTGATAAGTACTACTATATCACCAGCTGTAGCTGAAATCCATGATAAAGCAAATCAGTATGGCACATTTTAGTGTACACAATAAGAAGGATTGCCTAGGACATAGCACAGCCAAGAAATAGCCAGTACTTTTGATAGTCATCAGCAACATATAGAGATATAAGGCTTGGAAGGGACCTCAAGAGATCCTCTAATCCCACAGGGGCTTGAACCTGTGACATCAAGCTATAGAACCTGCAACATAATGTTATAGAAGGCAGCAATAAGATAACATCTCCCCACTCCAAATCTTGTTGTTTCCAGAAAAAGAGTATCCTGCCTTAAAAGGAAGTACACATACAAAAAAATTGTATGTTTAGAGAGGCCAGATTCAACACCTGTACTACAACTGGCTTAATTTTCATTCTTCTCAAAAACAAGAGGATTGCATGGAAATGCAACATAAACAATAAAGCAT